GTCAGCAAAGCAGAAGAGGTGGATGCTGGGTAGTCAGCAAAGCAGAGAGGTGGATGCTGGGTGGTCAGCAAAGCAGAGGAGGTGGATGCTGGGTGGTCAGCAAAGCAGAGAGGTAGGTCAGCAAAGCAGAAGAGGTGGATGCTGGGTAGTCAGCAAAGCAGAAGAGGTGGATGCTGGGTAGTCAGCAAAGCAGAGGAGGTGGGTGCTGAGTAGTTAGATAAGCTTGACCACTCCTGGCTCATCCACTTCCTTATGGGTCCCAATACACTTGCCACCTGTCCTCTTGACAAAGGACCTCAGAGTAGCTATTAAGGATCAATCTCCTTCGTTCTCCTGCTCAATCTCCAGTCACCTCCAGATCAAAGCAGCTACCCATTGCTCAGTAATGTCTTCCCTGACTGTCAAGAATGGGTCTAACTCTCTGCTTTAGATTTTTGAGGGGTCGGGGCTGGTTCGTTTGTTTGTTTGTTGTGTTTTGGAAGCAACATATCTTCTCCTCCCTCCATAGCACTTATCACAATTGAAATTTTTATGTTTATTTGAGAAATAATTTGTTTACAGTCAATCTTTCTATGAGAACATGTAACCCAGGGTATATCATGGCTCATAGAAGGCACTTAATGTATTTTTATGAGTAAATAATACTTTGCTACATTTTCTGAAAAAGAAAGCAAGCTACTTAATAGGTGGGAAGGTAGTTCTCTTTAATCAGCCCCCTTTAACCTAATTACACTATAAGGCTAAAACAGTACCAGGTGCACAAGACCCTCTGAAACATTCTTCATGCAGAGCCTTGTAAGTTCAGCACTTTTGACTTTACTGTCTCTAAAACGCAGGGATTATTTTAAATTCCAACATGATCCAGTTTTGCACACTGATTCCAGTACCAGCTATTTCTCCACTTCCGGTCTTTATCTGAAGTGATCTTAAAAACTGCTGATTGAACAAGGCAGACCCCAGGCAGAGAAGACTTATATCTTATATCAGATAGAAAATTCATGAAATCCCAAACACTCTTCAGAGAGGTGAGGTCCATATGGGAAGGGTGTAGAAAAATCATAAAGATGCTTAGAATGAGAGGGTAGGTCGGATGAACCTGGTGTTAAAAATTTTAAAGCTGACATTCATTTGTGTTGACATAGATGTAACTATAATTCTTTATCGAAAGACTGAGGGAGGCAATGCGTAAGAAGTAGCACCTCAGTGAAAAAAAAAAAAAAAAAACATAATCTATCTTAGAGTTGGACTTCAGCAGAGCCACCTGTAGGAGAGAGACAGAGAGGGAGTTTGAGGGGAGATGGACAAAGGAGAGAGAGAAAGAGAGAGGAGACAAGAAAGAAAGAGGGAAAGAAGAGGGAGAAAAACTTCAGAATGTCTTTTGTAATTTTATTTGTCTTAAACCATCCCTCCTCTCCACTTTGTATCAGTAAAGCAATTTATGTTTGTGAGGTGTATGTGAACATCTGTGCACCCACTGGGCGTGCATATTCAAAACGCTCTCCCTGAGGAGAACCAGTGGCCAGGGCAAGGGGCTGCGTGCTAACAGACAAACACCTCCTCCCAACACCCTGACTCCTAATAAGCTGCTTACAGGAGCATCATTCATAACGCTTCTCCATTTTTCTCCAGAAGGAAAATGTGTTGACTTTCTCCCAAGATTTTAACACAAATCCACATTCCAAGTAGAAATTTGGCTAATACAGAAAGTTCTAAAGAAGAAAATTAACATTATGCATCACCCCAGCCCATGTTCATAAAAATAAAGAGATCTTTCACTTTTGAAATTGTGAAATCTTCCTGCACTTGTTCACTTGGTTTTTGTTGTTTTTTTTTTTTAAACTCGGTAGGGTGCTGAGAAGTCACCCAACACTGCAGCCAACCTCAAGTCAGACAAAGCCAACGCTCCCTCCCAGGAGACCCAGAACCCCAAAGGCAGCCCACTGGGTGAGGCGCCATCCACCGCAGCCTCTGGGACAGCAAAGGAAGGTGGCAAGGAGAAGGCAGGACCCACCTCTCTGCCTCTGGGCAAACTGTTTTGGAAAAAGGTGAGTCTGAGTTTCAAGATTTGCAGAGTCCTTGGAGCCATGACTTGAGAAGTTATTTCTACTGAGCCAGTTGTTGTACTCAACCACGCATAGAGAGGGCTTTCCCCCCATCTTTCTTCTCCAAAGAATTCAGCGTGGCCCTGAGCCGAGGATTTCTAATGCACCCCTGGGAATCATGAAGTGCCTGTCACACTACAAACTGGTGTTGCTCGGGGAAGAAAGGGAGGTGAACAAGAACAATGACTTGAATGAATAGCAAAGGGCTGTACTGTTGCGTGGATCTATTACCCTCTAAAACAGTGGTGGTGAACCTATGGCGCTCATGCAGCAGCGGGCAGGCAGATCCCTTTCCGGGGGCATGCAAGCCAAGTGTATGAGTCGGGTCGTTTTCTAAACTAAAACCTCAGTGTTTGGGTTTAATTGCAGTGTTGGCACTCTGATAAACAAGTGGACTTTGGCTGGAGTTGGGGCCATCGCTCGTCTAAAATGACAGATGACCCTGGCTTCCTCCTGTTCCCCTGAGCACTCTGGCCTAGGGAGATGGAACGGGCCACTTTAGGGCTCTCTGTCTCCATGGCTTCTCAGCAGGAGGGAATCACAGCGAGCCCCAAGTCTCACTCTCCTTTTAGAAAACCCAGATGTCCACCAGGTCACCAACAAGACCGGGGTAGACTGCTGTGTGACAGGAAAAGTCACACTTTGCTCTGATTCCCTCCCCTTTAGAATGCACATGCAGGAGGCACGCGCCCTGCAGGGAGACGGGTGGATGGTCGCGTGGTTCTAAGGACCATGCCTTGGTCACCCCAGCCACCGTGCCTGTCACGCACTCTTGCTTGGGTTAAATTTGGACCAAAGATGAGTGAGAAATTGGGGAAAAGGGGTGAGAATTCACAGAGCTGGAAAAATCTAGCTTTGTAATTTCATCAAAACATCTGTGCCACTTGGCACTCCATGAAAAGCAGATGACAAATCCAGATGTCACTAGGATGTCAGTCTTATGCTGTTGTCCAGAATCCAGCTGGATTCCCGAGCCTCTTTCTGGTTTATTTCCTGTTGTACAGAAGTCTTCTTTCTAGATTCTCAAAGGAACACAAACTCGAACAGTTCATGACAACTTCAAAGGATGTCAGTTGGCATTCTGTTCTAATCCCTCTCTCTCTCTAATCTCCAGTCCTTATTTTTAAAAGTCTTTTACCAGGAACATAATGTAGGGAGCAATTTTCAAGTGAGAGTCAGGCAGGGTGGCTCATGCATGAAATCCCAGCATTCTGGGAGACTGAGCTGGGGGAATTGAAAGTTCAAGCCCAGCCTGGGCAACTTAGTGATTTAGTGAGAACCTATTTCAACATAGAAAATAAAAATCAGAAGAGCTTAATATAGCTCAGTGCAAAAGCCCTGGGTTTAAACCCTAGTACCAAAAAAAAAAAAAAAAAAAATTCCAACTGAGTTATATAGATGTATCAGTAGCAAGGGAGATAACCTAAGTGACCCATATTTTAAACATTTTATTTAAATACTCATCACATATTCATTCATATAAATGAAGATCTGATAGCTATGTATCGTATGCACAAAAGCATATCTAAAAGTTATATGTATATTCAAAGTAAATCAGCAAAAATAGAAGCAGCACATTAAACTTGAAATTTAACATGCATTTGGATCGAATGAGACTACATACATTTACTCCAGAAAGAAATCAATGTTACATAAATAATGATCCTGACAGTCCTGATAAATCTGAGTCTTAGTAAATTGGGGTTCTCCAAGAAGCACACACCAAGCCAGAATTCTCAGGCCAGAGGTTTCATGGAGGGAAATGCCTGAAAAGGATAAAGGAGGGGGCAGCATAGGTAGTAGGTAGGGTGTAGAGGGACTTCCTTCTGGGGAGGGAGAGAAAGAAGGAAGAAAGGAGGGAAGGAAGGGGGAAGGGAGGGAGGGAAAGGGGGAGGGAGGAAGGAAGAGATGAAGAAAAGGGGTTGGGCAGAAAGGCTGGTGTGGATGCCAAGATTGCCCACACTGGGAGCCCCATGCTGGACAGGAATAGATGGCCCAGCATCCCACCGTGCGTGGTCACTGACAGGAGCTGGGGGCAAGACAGGTGGAGGATGTCCTTCCATGCAGGGAAATCTGAGCAACACGCTGCAGCAGCTGCAGGAGAGGATACAGGCAAGATGGCAAACACCACATAGGCTATGGACGAACAACTGGAATTTGAGGAGCATGGAAGGAAGGTTATGTTTGGAGTCAGACCTGACTTTGCACTCCAGTTCATCTCTGGGAGCCTCAGTTTCCTTATTGGTAAAAAGCAAGTAGCAATAGAACCCACTGCACAGAAACAAAGTGAGAATGAAATGAAATACTGCCAGGAAAGCCCCTAATGCTCCACCTGGCACAAAAGTGACCAAAGAAGAGTCCCTGTACCCACATCACTCATTTCCTCCACGGTCAGGAGGTTGGGGAACAAAGCATGTAACTTGCTTTATCTTTCTGCCCTGCTCAGTTTGGGACAGTTACTAAACCACTACTGCCTGGCTACTTCTTCAGTGCTTGGAGCGTGTGAGGAATATAATTTCACTGGGTGTGGTGGTGCATGCCTGGAATCCCAGTATTCAGGAGGCTGAGGCAAGAGGATCAGCATGAGTTTGAGGCTACATCATGAGACACTGTCTCAAAAAGACAAAAAACAGCCAGGCATGGTGGTGCACACCTGTAATCCCAGGACTTGGGAGGCTGAGGCAGGAGGATCGTTGCAAGTTGGAGACCAACCTGGGCCACAAAGTGAGCTCAAGGCCAGCCTGAACTGCATAGGGAGACCCTCTCTCAAAAAGACAAAAGAAAAAAAAAAAGAATATAGTCTGTTCAAGCTGTTCCCCTTGGAGGTCATAGTCACAAGAACTTGACAGTCATCACCTGTGGTAGAATTTCATTTATTCAGACCCACTGTTTTTTGCACCATTATTTAGCTTTATATCTTTGGTAGATGCTTAAAAATAATGAATTTAAGAGAAATTACAATCAAATCACTGGTACCCTGTGTGTCCCTCTTGCACCTAATCTAAAGGAAAAAATCCTTTTTTTTTTTTTTTGGTACTGGGAATCAAACTCAGGACCTTGTCCTTGCTAGGCAGGCACTTGTGCCGCTGAGCTAAATCCCGGCCCAAAAAATCTTACCTGGAAATAAAATAGGAAACTTTCACTTAGTCAACAGCATTATAATTACCTTTGTTGTGCTGATATGTTTGTGTTGATTTGTGCTAAGTACTCAGCATTGAAAACATTACAGTGAACCAATTCCTGCTTTTTCCAACTCTCTATTCTGGTGGGAGAGCTCATATCCTAGGAGGAAGTGAAATCAGAACCTGTATTTTTTTTCCTTTGAATTAAAAAGGCTGTGGTGATAAAATCAGCCTGGTAAACATTCTTAAACGTGTGCAGGAAAACACCAGGAAACTCTTATAACTTTACTAATAACTAAACATAACCTTTCTTCTCTCTCTTTTCACTGAGAAACTTTTAAACAAATTGATTGTAAAATTTGTACATCTGTAGTTAGAAACCTCAGAAATGGTTTTATTCCCCGAAGAGGCTGTGCTATGAAAGTATTAGTTATTTTGATTTATAGTCTGAGTTGCTGAAGCAGTTCTGATCATAACATGAAAACAAAGCAACTATTGAAGAAATTGCTTGCAAATTATATTGAAGTTTTAAAAAACTGTTTATAATCCAGTTATCTGGACTAACGATGCCCTTGATTGTTCTAGGCCAACCAAATTGCTACGGACTCTGTGGCATTATAAACTCTTTACCATGTTGGGTTTCTGATCTTTTCCTCACCTGTCCAGTGAGTGGGCTGGGATGGACAATACTAGTGATTCTCATATGTGGCAAATCTTGCACAACAGGTCAGGGGAATTGGGCTTTGCAGTCCTGGACCATCACTGGACCAGTCTGAACCCCTATTTTCATATCTATAAAATAAGGATTACGCTACGTCACTGTGCTCTGAAGAGAAACCGATCATTGTACAGACAGGACCCTTAAGACGGAGCAAGAGCAACAAGAACAGCAACAACAGCAGAGTCATCTTTCTTTAAACACAAACAAAATGTGGACGTGATCAGCTATCTATGTGTGGCTTCTGGTGCCAACTAACCTTCCGATTTGCTCTTGGAGGAACACCATTTATACACGTGCACACAAGTGTGTGTGTGTATGCGTGCATGCATGCACACACGTGCATAGTTCGCAAGTGACATATTTGGAATATCTTAGAAATAGCCCTTTTCCTGCTTTCTGGTGTGGTGCCCTGATGTGACCTCTGACATCACTCGGTCTCCATTCTGGCAGCTGGTGACTGCCTGAATTGGAATGGAGCACTCAGACCCTCGAGCCTCCACTTCCTCTGCAACGCAACCAGTCAGCAGCATCTCTCTCACAAGTACTGGGAGGAACAAATAAGGAAAAAATGCCACGTGAGTTATTTCTAGAGAAGAACAGTGAAATTTGCGACCCAATGTTAATCACCAGGTCACAAATGCTGTGGATGGTTAAAAGAGACAGCAATCAGTGTTGGTCAAAATGGACTTAGAGAACTTAAACAAGGCTGTGGGTCATATCATCTGGGCTATTTGTTTCAGATACAGAGTTTTATTCCTTCCCATAGGGATTATGGTCATAAAAGCGTGGGTATGTGGCTGGACAATTATGAAAACACTTGAGAGGCAAAATTCTTGGATTCAAGCCTGACCTGGTAATCTTAGCCCTCTGGGAGGCTGAGGCAGGAGGATCTCAACATCAAGCTCAGCTCAGGCAACTTAGCAATTTAGTGAGACCCTGTCTCAAAATTAAAAAAAGAAAAATTTAAAAGCAGCTGAGGATGTAGCTCACTGCAAAGGTCCTGGGTTCAATCCCCAAAACAAGAGGAAGAGGAAGAGCAGGAGATTCTTTGATTCATAGAAAAGGTCTTAGAGCATCTGTCCATGATGTCCAGACATCTA